CTCCAGGGATCGTGGAGGCTCCCTTCAAATGTGACCATGAAGCATTCGACTGGCTTGTTAGCGTCGAACTAGTCCCATCAGAACAGGTTGCGGCAGTCCAGCTCAATACCATCCGCTCGGAAACGACTAAAAAGGAGCAGTTGATACATCGGTTATATTACGACCGCTTACACTTGGACGGCCGGGCATTAGAGTTTTATGGCATCACTGTTCCGGAGTTTTTCCAGACGGAAATGAGGCGGTTAAGCTTTAAGGAATTCATGTCCCTGCCATTGGTCATCAACGGGCGGGAGCTTGACAGTTTGTATCATTACTGTCGGCAAGCTGAGGCTATCCTTAATCCTGGAGGGCTTCATCTCATAAACTCCATCGTTGCGGTAGGCCTTGGAAACGGACATGGAGGTAATGTTATGGCTACGCTAGGAGGGCCTGCCATCCGCCTCGTCGACTACGAAGTTGCCGGATGGCACAACCCCGTGCTCGACCTAGCCAATCCGTTGTACAACGATGCGTTTTTCGCCATCCTTTATAGTGATTTGATGGGTCCTTGCAATGCAATGACTGCATGTGGGGGCGATGAGCGCCAGTATGTACGCTACCGCGTTACCGAAGAGGCCATCGCTGTCGACTTCAACCTCCAGCTCAGCCTGTTAGATCGTACTTTGGCATACATAAAACTCGAGTACATGGTACGGCCACTCTGGGAACGCCTAGCGGACGAATTTCCAAATGATTTAGAATTTGCCGAAGACATATTGAGCGCAGCTCTATTCTCTTGCGCTCTGCTGACTCGTAACTTTTCATCGCAGCCGGACACCTTTTTCCTAAATGCCGCCGTCGGAGTGCTCTTGTTTTCTGACATGAAGGGGACCATTGACTTGTTCTTCGGATGGGCAAACTGGCCCATCAACGCTGGATCATCCGAAGGTGGCCGGCGGCGCTGGTCTGATGTCGTCAAGGGCGCTCACGAAGAGGCGAGAGACCGCCGATTAATTGGGCCCGCGACAGAATGCCCATGAGTTGACATTGACTACTGTCATATCAGATCCCACAGTGGCGTTATGGACTATCGACTTGCTGCGCGGGGCTCCTGCTCGGGCCTAGCACCATTACCCAGATCTCTCAAATACAACATTCTTTACAGTTCAATTTGAATGCTTTTATCAGAAGGGAAAATCTTTTTGCTATTCAAAGTCGAATTAACTTCTTTAGGCAATACTATTTTTATTGAGTAGATTGAGACTTGGTTCGATTTATCCGAGTTCTACAGCTGCTAACTATATTGAGATACAAGTTCACAGATCAAATCAACTTCGTCAAACAACTTATATGAATACTAGTGTTTAGTGAATAGTATAAGGTTTATAAATCGCACTGGCATCGGTTATTGATAATGCCGTTTCTTTCTCTTCCACAACTCTCAACTCTTCGTAACCCTCAACATATAAGTACTTTGTCACTTTGACACACTCTCTACAATCTTCAAGACTGTTCAAATCAAATTCTTCACAACCCCCAGTAGAATATCTACTCTCAGTAACTTAGTCTCTTGAGAGATTTTAACCAATGAAGATGATATAAAAGTGAATTCTTGAATCTTGAATGAGTGAGTTAGTTCTACACAGGAAAATACATAGAATGCAGTTCAGAGTCAATGAGTTATGAGAAATGAAAGTGTATTAGTAATCTAATATTTGAGTGTGTTTTAGATAAAGTGAAATGTCTTGGCAAAAATCCCTACTCCGAGATTTTAATCCATCTTTGAAAACAACCCGACTGAGGCTCCACCTGCAGACTGGATCATAAAAGTATCCAGATACTACTTGGCCGTTCCAATGCCTTGCCGATTGAGCTTGCGGCTGCCAATGCAGCTGCCCTCACTATTCCAATTCACATCTCCGCCGCCGTTCCTCCTCCCAGTTTTACAGCACCAGACCAGACACGCATCCGTCCTCGCGCAGTTGTCAGATAATGCGACAGCGTACAACAAACGGATAAGACGCGGTCGAGGTCCTTCGTCTGGAAAGGGTAAGACCTCCGGGCGTGGTCACAAAGGTCAAAAGCAGCATGGAAGTGTTCCCGCAGGTTTCAATGGCGGGCAGACCAAAGATGAGATTGTGCATGGTGAACATGGATTCAAAAACATGTAAGGCACTTCCGACACCCTAAGTGATGCCGTCCAAAAACAAGTAAAAGATCTAATCCAAACCCTCATCCAGCTTCTCCCTCGACATCTCCAAAGTCAATCTCGACCGCATCCAACAATGGATCGACCAGGCGCTCGACTCCTCCCGTCCCATCACAGTCCGCGAGCTTGCGAAGTCCCGCT